ATTGGTGCATTCCCTGGTACCAGTAAAGTCTGTCAGTTTCTAGTTAGTTAGAGATGGAATTTTGTAGCTCCTGTGTTAGATATGCACGATGATAACTTTACACTTTTTTAGATCTTCTTCTGCCTGGAGTTTCTGGGACAAACCTGGCAGTACTAGGGTCGTCGGTTCGAATCTCAACCACGGCATCACCTGTCTGGAGTTTGCATGTTCTCCCTGTGCCTGCGTACTTCCGGGTACTCCAAAGACACGCTGGTAGGTTAATTGGCTCCTGTCTAAATTGTCCCTAGTATATGTGAGTTAGGGACCTTAGATTGTACACCCCTTGAGGGTTAGGGACTGATGCGAATGTACAATATATATGTAACGCGCTGCGTAAATTGATGGCGCTATATAAGTACCTGTAATAAATAATAATTTCTCAGTGTTGTAAGACAGGTTCTCTTCATAGCCTTCTGCATATGTCCTTGTGTTGAAGGACGTAGAACAGTGTCCTAAGCCCTGAATATGTCTTAAGCTTCCTTCGGTTTGTGAAGGCCACGTCTGACTGGACGTCACTGGCTCTCTCCTGGCATGCGGTGCCAGTTTGCGCAGATGGCAGGCTAAATTAGGATAAGGTTCAGAAGTCGGCTTCAGACAAGATAAGCGAAGGACTCTGGGAGAATTAGACTCAAGTTTTCTAGAAAGTCTACAAATCCAAGACACCATAACCCCGCTAAGGAGGGAAACATCTGTTCCCATTTATCCTACGCTAAGGACAACACTGCGATACTGTATTCCAAACCATGAGCGCCAAAAAACACGGAGCCGGAACATTTATATACCAAATCTTTCAAATGTAATGTAGATCCTCTTGTGGTCCCTCCACTCCTGCTTTGCTATACGATGTGTTTTAGAGGGGATGGGGGAAGGAATACAAGATATAATTACACCTTGGCAATTTCCCGGGATGCCTTCCCTCGCACCTCCTTGCCAACAGGTGGGCACCTCATTCTCTTCTCTAGAGTCCCATGCCATGTATTTCAAACCACAAGTGCCAAAAACACGAAGTCAAACCATTTATATACCAAATCTTTCCAATGTAATGTAGATCCTCTTGTGGTCCCTCCACTCCTGCTTTGCTATACGATGTGTTTTAGAGGGGGATGGGGGAAGGAATACAAGATAGAGGAAAGCTTTTCAGAAATAATTACATCTTGGCAATTTCCAAGCTGCCATTCCCTCGCACCTCCCTGCCAACAGGTGGGCACCTCATTCTCTAGATTCCTATGCCTTGTATTCCAAACCACAAGCGCCAAAAACACGAAGCGGAAACATTTATATACCAGATCTTTCAAATCTAATGTAGATCCTCTTGTGGTCCCTCCACTCCTGCTTTGCTATACGATGTGTTTTAGAGGGGGATGGGGGAAGGAATACAAGATATAATTACACCTTGGCAATTTCCGGGGTGCCCTTCCCTCGCACCTCCTTGCCAACAGGTGGGCACCTCATTCTCTAGAGTCCCATGCCATGTATTCCAAACCACAAGTGCCAAAAACACGAAAGTCGAAAAATTTATATACCAAATCTTTCAAATGTAGTGTAGATCCTCTTGTGGTCCCTCCACTCCTGCTTTGCTATACGATGTGTTTTAGAGGGGGATGGGAGAAGGAATATAAGATAGAGGAAAGCTTTTCAGAAATAATTACACCTTGGCAATTTCCAAGGGGCCCTTCCCTCGCACCTCCTTGCCAACATGTGGGCACCTCATTCTCTAGAGTCCCATGCCATGTATTTCAAACCACCAGCGCCAAAAACACGAAGTCAAACCATTTATATACCAAATCTTTCCAATGTAATGTAGATCCTCTTATGGTCCCCCCACTCCTGCTTTGCTATACGTTGTGTTTTAGAGAGGATCGGGGAAGGAATACAAGATATAATTACAAGAAATATTTACACCTTCACAATTTCCAGGGTGCCCTTCCCTAGCACCTCCTTGCCAACAGGTGGGCACCTCATTCTCTACAGTCCCATGCCTGTAGTGCGTCTGTAGGAACCCTAGTCTAAATTTAACCACTTGACCTCTGGTAGGTTTTCCCCATTGAAGTGAAAGTAAACTCCCTCTGGATACTTGTTCCTACAGGTAACCTTATAATAAAGCTTACCTGTAAGCAGGGGCGGACTGACAACTCATGGGGCCCCGGGCAATAGGGGATCATGGGGCCCCTGTGTCCTTGCCCAAACTCAAAAAAGCCTATGAAAAATGTACCAGGGGCATCTCATGGGGCCCCCTACTGACCCAAGTTTCCAAATGGTCATTCTGTCCCTGTCTGTAAGGAATATCTCCTAAACATGCACCTTTTAGGATATATTCAGTGTCCTTGCAGCCAATGACATCATCGGAGCATGCGCTCTGAAGGAACGGCATGCCCGTGCTGTTTCTTTAGCGCTCTATGCCATGGCCGAGACTCACATGGGAGTGACGTCATCATGGCTCGAGCAACCAATGACCAGAGCCCACAAACCTGGAAGGAAGGTTGGGAGAAGATGGAAGTCCTGTCAGCGGTGAAAGCGTGCCACTGGAGGGCTTCCTTCTAAGGTAAATCTTTCATAATGTGCTAGCATGCAATACATACTTACATACATTATGACATTATTTTGCAGGGGAAATTTTACTACCCCTTTCATGACCAGGGCATTATTTACTATTCAGCACTGAACTACTATAACTGGTAATTGCGCGTCATATAACACTGTAAGCAAATGAAATATCATTTTTTTTCACACAAATAGAGCTTTCTTGTGGTGGTATTTGATCATGACTGGGATTTTTATTTTTTATTCTATAAAAGAAAAAGGACGGAAAATTAAAAAAATATATATTTTCTACTTTCTGTTATAAAAAAAATTAAAAAAAAAACAAATTTCTTCAAAATTAGGCTACAATTTATTCTGCTACATGTCTTTGTTACAAAAAAAATCCCAATACGTGTATATTAATTAGTTTGTAAGAAAGTTATAGTATCTGCAAACTCTGATATACTACATATTTGAAAATTGATCAGTTCTGATGTACTGACGTCCTATTTCATTTCTTGAGGCTTTTAAAATGTCGGGACAGCACATATACCCTGCAAATTACCCTTTTTGGAAAGTAGACAGTCTGGAGTATTTAGTAAGAGGCAAGGCAGGTTTTTTTGAAATTGTATTTTTTTCTCACAATTTTTTTCCAGAATGAAGAAATTAAATTCACAATTTTTTTTTACAGACTGTCACCCTTGCAGTACAGTGTCATCATATGACTGGTGTGGCGGTGAGAGACACTGACTGGTGACAGTATGTTAAAAAAAAAAAATTAACAAAAAATGTTTAAATATTTTTTTTACTAACTTTTTTAATTTTTTTTTATATTCTTTAACATTTTTCTTTTTTAACTTTTTTTTTTTAACATACTTCCATCAGTGTAGTTCAGTATCACCTTAGTAACACTGTAGTACTTTGGAGGGTAGATCAGGGATTTTTTTTTTTTCACACTTTGATTGCTGTTACAATGTTTTGAACATTGGGGTACATTCATAACAGCTGTGATTGTTAGTGATTACTGATTGGCTACAACAAATCACATGGTACAGGATGATTGGCCGAGGTACCATCTGATAGCTGTGGGCCAATTACAGCATCACTCTATAGGAAGCACAGGTGTTATGAATGATATTCATTGACATCAGCTTTTTTGACATTGTGATCATGTGATCACATAGCAATCACACGATCCTCGGGCTGTCAAAAGCAAAGGTACCTGGAGCCACAATCTGCTGTGTCTGTTGGACACAGCGGCTGCAGGAGCGGTGCGCTACCGGACACAGCGGCTAACCCGGAACAGGCTGGGTGATGTACATGTACATGATCTAGCATGCACGTACAAATAAATTGTAGGCGGGCGGCAAGTGGTTAATGTTTGCAGCTAGGCTGTATCCAGCCTCAGCTTTGTTTATGTTTTCTGGGACCAATGGGTTTCTCCTAAGCCGAGGGATATTATTTGCTTCTGCTTGCTTCTGGGTCCTGTTCTCCAGTGGAGAGAGTGAGAAGATATCATGTATTGGGTTATCAATGTTCATTCTGCCTTGGCCAATCACTGGGTAACAGGGTAAAAATATTTGTAGAGACCCTCTGGAAGGGTCCTTGCCCCCAAGACTTTGCTTGCTGAGGATATGTGTGTAACAGGGTCCAGTCCTTCTCTACCAAGCTGCAGTCTGGAGAGCGTGTAGCTTAGGAAAGTTCAGTCTTTACCTTTCATGCCCTTGCATAGGGGAGGAAACCAGAGTCAAGAAAGGGTGTATTCTTTCCTAGCTGCCCATCTGCACCTAGGGTGTTATAAACTGGTCTGTGGCAGAGGCCAAAAAACTGAAAGGTGCGCACCTATATAAGGCCTACAGAACCTACATTAACCTCCGAGAGAGTTTCAAAGCTGGCATGCGGCAGAGGTCAAAAGACCATGGAAGATAATAGTCCTTCTGGGCCTATAGGGTTCACCAAGAAGTCTATTGGGCTGAAGGAATTTTTTTTGGGATCCTGTACTCTTAACCCTCTCTCCCTAAAACAATAAATTGAAAGGACATGATTGAAAGATCAGAAATCTGTTAGGCGTTGGTTAGTGAGTTGTTATGGTGCAGCTATGGGGCAGGTCACCATTAAGAAGGCAGGAGAAACCAAAAAATCCAATTCCCAAGGGCTACCAAGGTCTACACAACCAACCTTGCCATGGTCTGGACCTCACCATGGACTCAGCAGCCATAACTTCATGCACTGTGCCCTCATTGACCACTAGCTTGTTTATTTCAAATGCTTGTTGGGGAATGCTGGGGGATGGACAGTGGACAGGCCCAACGTACTGCTATTCCAGGTTCAGGAGGAGAAACTGACTCACTTAATACTATAATAATAATTTATTATCATTCATTATTCTGATTAAGATAAAAGGCAGACATGGCTAAGAAAATTAAAAAAAACAATTACCTCGCCTCATCATCCCGAGCAATAATGAGTCTCATGTAGCTGGTGGCCGACGCAGCCCGCAAAATGTCTACAGCTCTGTGAATAGGAAACACTAATGAGTGATAGACACAAGTGTAGAATTAACAAGCAGCAATAGTGATGGTGCTTGTGAGACCTAAAACATACAAGAGAAGTGTCCCAACCAAATAGTGAAGGATTTCAAACTGCTTTACTTGGTCATCATAAGATTACATAAAGCAGCTGATGCATTTTTGAGGGCCAACAATCCCCCCCACACCCCCCCATCAAGGCTCAGTGAACTTTACCAGGACTTTGGTGGGCTAAAATTGATAATAAGATAGAAAAAAAATCTGAAGAATATATTTCTAAACATTTATATTTTTAAAAATATATATTTTTTAAATATATTCTTCAGATTTTTTTTAAAAATATAAAAAAGTAATTTTTAACATATATATTTACATATATTTGTAAATGCATTCCAAAAATGTAGATTTGTATATTTAAAGACATACAGTATATTTGAAATGTATTTTTAAAAATATTTTTCATATATTTTGTAATAATAAAAAACGCATTTCAGCATGCAGTATATATATATATATATATACGAACGCTATCCCCACTCCAGTCGATCCTAAACTCAGCGGCTAGACTCATCCACCTCACCAAGCACTCCACATCTGCCTCCCCCCTCTGCCAATCCCTTCATTGGCTCCCGATTGCCCAACGCATCAAATTCAAACTGCTAACTCTGACCTACAAAGCCATCCACAATGCCGCCCCGAACTACATAACTGACCTGATACCCAAGTACTACCCTACCCGTGCCCTCCGCTCCTCACAGGACCTCCTACTCTCTAGCTCCCTGGTCTCCTCCTCCCACGCCCGATTACAGGACTTCTCCAGGACTTCCCCCATCCTCTGGAACTCCCTACCCCAATCCATCAGGCTGTCACCTACCCTCCTCACCTTCAGGCGCACTCTGAAAAACCCTCCTCTTCAGGGAAGCCTACCCCAACCTCCCCTAACACCCGACCTCACCTAACAACTAACCTCCTCCACTCCTCCCACCACTCCATCCCCCACAGCCATCTCCTCCTGTACCACCTTCCCCTCCCTCCTAGATTGTAAGCTCGAAAGAGCAGGGCCCTCAAACCCCTCGTGTAGTGTATTGTTACTATCTTGTCTCATGTTCTGTCCCCCTTGCTACTGTACAGCGCTGAGCATACCCTTTGGCGCTATATAAATACTGTATAATAATAATAATAATAATAATTATATATATATTGAAATATATTGAATATGGCCAAAATTTTAGCATTTCAAATATATGGCAATATATTGGGAAGAATATTTTGAAAAAAAAATTTTCAAATATATTTTCTTCCATGTGGGATGGCTGGGATGAATTCATAGACCAAGCCTTCTCCCAGTGTTGTCTTACACCAGAGGTTGTCTACTTGTAAAGTGATTAGGTTTTTTGACATTCACTGTAGTGAAGTGTAAATTTTAACACCGACACCAACTGTTCTAAATTTGTCAGCTAAAGCCTGTCATACATGGATCAGAATTCAGCTGGTTCAGCAGGGACTGGCCAACATTCGACCCATGTATGGGCAGGCTGATTGTATCCAAGTCAGTCTTTCAATTGACTTTGGTACAACCAGCCTGTTGTATTTTGTGAAATTAGATTACTGCAGACTGCTATAGCCACTAGCAGTAACCATTGTATTCTGCCCTCCAGGAAGGCGCCCCCTCAACCAGGAAAACTGATTGTATTGATGGTAAAATCTAGCAATTTTCTTTCCTTCCGCCTACAGTGGAAGGAGAAAAAATAGAGTAATCTATGGGCTGCTTTAGTCCTGTATCTTGGACCTCAGTCCCGATGATGTTGTGTCCAGGGTCATGTCCTGGGATCTCAGTGTTACCCTTATTTGAGGCACTGAGTAACTCAATAAAACAAGGTAATCAGGGGCCACACATGGGCAGCTCCTGAATAATTAGGGTTTGGGCAGGTGACTGTAGGGTGGGATATGGGCAGGATTGCCCAGTCACTAGACAGGCCCAAGACTAACTGTGGGCAAGGTTACCTATTTCTCAGAGACTGGGACTGAAATGTTGTTAAGCATGACTTGCACATATCTCACTGAACTTTCAGACCTACAAACTCCCGCAAAAATCTGAACATTTGTGCAGCATGACCCTACCCCTTACCTCTCATTGGACACTCCCAGCAAACTTTCTCCATTCACTTCCAGAATTTGATCTCCAGGCTGGAGCCGCCCTAAACAGAACACACAAGGCAATCTTCAGAGTCTTTATAGTCTTGTACATCCCATGATATGGTTTGTGACTGATTTTGCTTGTAAATACCTTTAAAATCCTATTTTTGTCTCAGTGAAAACACTGCTTCCTGCTCTCACACTGTAGTGCTCTGCGGTGGCAGAGCTGAGCAATGGCCACACCCCTCATCACAAGTGCCCTCACCACGACTTGGATGGAAGAGGAAGAAGGGGGCGTTTCTGGTAAGGTCTGTTACTGACTACTGATTACAGAGCTGAGTAATGACCACACCCCTAAGTATAAGTGTGCTTTACGCTAAAAAGGGGGCGTGTCTGACCAGGTCATTTAGTCAATGCTGATTACAGAGCCACGTATTGGCCACATACCTCATCACAAGTGCCCTCACAAAGACTTGTATGAAAAAGGAATAAGGGGGTTTGTCTGGTAAAGTCTGTTACTGACTGCTGAGTACAGAGCTGAGTAATGACCACACCCCCATGCACAAGTGTGCTTAGGCTAAAAAGGGGGCATGTCTGACCAGGTCATTTAGTAAATGCTGATTACAGAGCCACGTGTTTGCCACATCCCTCATCACAAGTGCCCTCACAAAGACTTGTATGGAAGAGGAAGAAGGGAGTATGTCTGACCAGATCTGTTACTGACTACTGATTACAGAGCTGAGTAATGACCACACCCCCAAGCACAAGTGAGCTAAGGCTAAAAAGGGGGCGTGTCTGACCAGGTCATTTAGTGAATGCTGATTACAGAGCCACGTATTGACCACACCCCTCATCACAAGTGCCCTCACAAAGACTTCTATGGAAGAGGAACAAGGGGGCATGTCTGACCAGGTCTGTTACTGACTACTGATTACAAAGTGCACTGGATCTGGTGCCTACAGGACTGCACAGTCATTTTTAGATGCCCTGCATAACTGCTGTAACAGTTTATGAAATGAATGCTGTCAGGACAGGATGTACATTCTAGGTTTTTGTTCTACAACACACTAGGACTATGTTATATGCAGAACGTACCGTCAGAATAGGCCATGCCTCCAGGGAGAATTCTTTTCACATAGACTCCGTATTCTTCTCTGCTAAATTCCCGCAATCCTCCAATGACCTTGATTCCTGTAAGAAAAGTTTTATGTTATAATGCTAATTGCTTGGCTGCCATGCTAATCCTCTGGCTTCAATATGTTTTTTGAAGCCACTGACCCGGAACAAACATTCAGATTTGCAGCTCTGACATCCTGCTTGATCCTGGTCACCGGCTTGTAGAGTACTGAAGTTGTACATTGAGCTTTACAACCTAGAAACCTAGAAACTGTCATTTCATACAATTGTATTTACCTTGGCTACGTTTTTCATTAAAGCCAAACTTTAAGCTCATCTCTCCTGCCCCTTATCTCCTTCCACCCACAGAGCCCCTTTCCCGTGTATTTTCTGCTTTTTTGTTTTTATACTTACCTTTTCCAGATACCCTTAGGCCTATTCTGCCAATCTTTAATGTAATTATTCTGTATTGTGTTGAACAGCTTCACTTTTTTGTATCATGATGACATCTAGTGGTGGTTTCTGGCCACCACAACATGTTTACCAATATGATTTTGGTATCATTCTCTGTCCTCCCCTCCTGTTTAGTGCTATTAGTTTAGTTTAGTCCTAGCTAGACCCTCCCCACTTCTTCCATGTTCCCTCAGTCAGTTAGTTAGTAATTTGCAGAGACAGGGCTCAGGAAACTCTTCTTAGCTGCCCTTCTGGACCTAGGGTGTCCTACACGGGTCTGTGGCAGAGGCTGGACTGGAAAAGAATAATTTGCACTGCAATTAGTGGAAGTAAATTGTGTTGGATTCAACTTCTGCATCTTATTGAAGAGTTAGGCTGCCTGTGGATGGTGTCAAGTCAGAAGATGACCATATCCAGATAGTCTGGGTTTGTGGAGGTATGTCAATAAATAAAGCAGCATTTGCAACAGAACAAGACTGTCATGTGACAATCAAGGTCTTCTTCCAATTCAACTCTGCTCTTGGTAGGAGGTGGTCCTCAAAGATTGATGTGAGTGCAGGGTGCTGTGGTGATGGCCCCTCAGGGGGTGGGTCCATGACACCCTGCACTCACAGGATGTCCTCAGTCTCCCAGACTAAATGGTGTTGAATGTTAGTGGCCCTGGAAAATTGAGGACATCTAGCAATGAAAAGGAATTACAGGCATACCACGGTTTACGAACGCCTCGGTTAACATAATTTTCGTTTACGAATGAAAATCTATTGAAAATAATGGTTCAGTTTATGAATTTTTTTCGCAATACGAATGGATTAATTGGTTTTCAGTGCATTTACAAATTTTTTTTAATCATGTCCCTGTACAGTATTTATGCCTTTAAAGTGCACTTTTATAAAGAGATTTGAACAGATAAGACTTTTTTTTACTTTTTTTCTGACCTCCGTAACGGATTAATTGGTTTTTTCAATGCATTTACAAATTGTTTTCGCAATACGAGCGGATTAACCTGTCCAAATCATGCCACCTCAACCTCCGCAACACCTCCAGAATACGCCCCTTTTTTTACCCAATGATACCACAAAGCTCCTAATTCACTCCCTGGTTATCTCTCGCCTCGACTACTGCAACTCCCTCCTCATCGGATTACCTTTACATAGGCTATCCCCCATCCAGTCCATCATGAATACTGCTGCCAGGCTCATCCACCTTACCAACCGTTCAGAGTCTGCTACCCTATTTTGCCAATCCCTCCATTGGCCTCCACTCAGTGTCGTCCACCCCTCTCTGCAAATCCCTTCACTGGACTCCACTCAGTGTCCTCCACCCCTCTCTGCCAATCCCTCCACTGGCCTCCACTTGCCCAACGAATAAAATTAAAAATACTAACAACAACTTACAAAGCCACCCCCAACTCTGCCCCCAGCTACATCACCAACCTGGTCTCAAAATATCAACCAAACCGCTCTCTTCGATCTTCTCAAGACCTTCTGCTTTCTAGTTCCTGTGTCACCTCCTCCCATGCTCACCTCCAGGACTTCTCCCGAACTTCTCCCATCCTATGGACCTCCATACCCCAATCTGTCCGGCTGTCTCCTAATCTATCCATCTTTAAACGATCCCTGAAAACCTTTCTCTTTAAACAAGCCTATCCTGCTTCTCTACCTAGTAAACTGCCTTTTATTTCCTCCATTATCTCTCCCCCCCCCCCCCCCCCACAGCTATTACCTTTTGTATCACTCAACCCTTCCTCCTAGATTCTAAGCTCTAACGAGTCGGGCCCAATGTTTCCTCTTGTACCAAATTGTATTGTAACTGTAATGTCTACCTTCATTTTGTAAAGAGCAAACTGTTGGCGCTATATAAATCCTGTATACTAATAATAATAATTAATTGGTTTTCAATGCATTTATGAATTAATTTTTAATCATGTCCCTGTACAGTATTTATGCCTTTAAAGTGCACTTTATAAAGAGTTATGAACAGATAAAATACTTTTATTTTAACTTTTTTCTGACCTCCGGAACGGAATAATTAGTTTTCAATGCATTCCTATGGGAAACCGCGTTTCCGAATTTTTCGCAATATGAAAAGTCCCGGATAACAAATTAAATTCGTAAACCGAGGTACACCTGTACTGTGGGGGACAACACAGGTTGGGAATTTTTTACTTTAAGTACCTGCTGGGGGGACTATGCTATTTAAAAAAAAAAAAAGTAATACCAATTGTTATGGTAAATAATACACAAGTAATATCTCCGCAAGCCTATAGTGTCCCACAAAGAGATACATCTTTTTCCTGACTGCGGGACGCGGAGCGGTTAGCTATTCCTCTCTTCCCGCTGGATAATCTTTTTATGTGACCTCCCCGGTGATGCGGCCACTAAATTGTATTTTCATCTTTCCTCTTTCTAGGTTATGTTTCATAATACGTGCTCTCATACTGATTCATATATCCCATTTTCATTCTCCCATCGCTGCCTTAATTGAAATAATGGTTTCATAGTCCCTAAACAATCACAAATCCTCTTATACATACTGGGTGCTGCCAGACAACTAAATCCGGGACGATTAGGCAGAGGGGCGATCATTTTACCTTGTGGGTTCTGGAAACCCCTGAATCCTGTCTACCATAGAGGAAGGGCACAGAGATAACGGACAGCTGACAAAGGTCAGGGTTCGGTGGCATTCATCCTTGGACACAATGGTCATTTTAAGCACTAACATTTTTCCTGTGTACAGGTTTTATTGTTATGTTTTGGGTTTTTGTTTTATTTAACCGAACCTTTAATGCTTTAAAAGTCTTTAATGTAATCATGTTAAAGCTAAAGTTTAATCTGCTTATATTTTGCCTTCCCTGGTCCTCTTTCCCCATAAACATGGTGATGGAGAAAAAAAAAAAAAAACTTTCCACTTTCAATACATACCTTACTGTATGTATGTCATCACTAGGTCACTGTGTCTCTTTATGCAAAGCAGGCAGATCATGGCTGGTGGGAGGGGTGCTGTACATAGGGGAACATCACAGCACCCTGCCTCCTCTTGAGATCCTTCAGCCCTGATGCAAGCAGTGGGCAGGCTCCAGGGAGACGGTATGTGAATACTAAAATGCCTTTGTATAACAGGCGTCAGTCTGGAGTAGTGAGTGTTCCCAGGGGCAGACTGACACCTCATGGGGCCCCTAGACAATAGGGGATCATGGGGCCCCTGTGTCCTCGCCCACACTCAAACCACTCCCAAAAAAAGCCTATGAAAGGTACCAGGGCATCTCATGGGGCCCCCTACTGACCCCGGGCCCTCAGGCAGTGCCGAGTGTCCGAATGGTCAGTCCTGCCACTGGGTGTTCCTAGAAAGACTGTATTTGCATGCAGACTACCCTAGATAATGGCCACGTGTCATTATGAGCCTCCACAATTGAAAGAACTGAAATCCAGTGGGTGGAAGGGATGTCCTACAGCTAGGAAATTCTCTCTTGCTGCAGCTTCTAATGCACATTGTGAGGAGCTCACAGTGTGCAGTGAAATCAGAGTGAGCAGTTTGAGTCTAGGAAAGGACCCGGTACAACTGAAGGGAAGGCTGAAGGTCACATTTAAAGAGTCAATCTACCTTAAATTAATAGTTCAGCTATAGGTGGGTTCTGCTGGACTTTGGCAGCCACTGACTTCCTGTATGTCTTGGATACTCCAGCAGCAAATTCAAAGCCGATTCTGTTTCTGCCCACCTTTGAGTTTTGGGCGTTCTCCATTTTCCATTGCTTCTTGACCAAGATCCAGCGTAGTGTTCTTTCCTATCAATGTCCACTAGGGGTGCTACACCGCTATTTTGCCTCTTGGTAGGAATGGCTGGCTGTATAGTACCTCTGCTGGTATGATGGGGGTCCTGAAGAGTCTTCAAGGAAACCAAATGAGCATGCACCATGTAAGGTGTGTCTCAGGAGTACTCCCTTGGCATGGGGGTTCCCAATGAGCCCAGCGCTTCCTGGTTTAAATTTATTTTATCTGGTCTGGACATGGGCTGGGAAGGCAGAGAACCTGCGGTGTCAGTACCCCCTGGGAGTTGGTCGCACCAGGGGTTCTGTTAGTATCACTTGGGCATGGGAAAAACCACAGTTTTCTGAATAGTGGCTCTTTGGGGTAGGCCTTTTGGCTAAGTCCCGGGCAATTTTTGCTACAAGGCCACAAGGCCTAGCCATGGCGTCTTGCGCCGGCACTTATTTATATTATTTTTTTCCATGTGTGTCGCCTGCACTTTGTGCGTGTTTCTGTTACTTGGATGGAGGGTGTGTGTCCTTGGGCCTTTCCTGAAGTCTAGGAGGAAGATGTGTGGTCATTAGGTTCCTTCATCTCCTGAACTGGGGGGGGGGGTCTTCAGGAGATCCCTCACCTAGTACTCGGTGTTAAGCTTTGGCTGGCCATGAGGAGACGGCTGTGCTAGGCCTTTTAGCTAGGTGGACCAAGTTGTGCTTTGCCCCTGTCAGGAGCCCTGAGCCCTGGGGAGTCCGGGTTGAGTTCTACCTCTGGAGGCAGACTAGAGATACACCCTGAACTGCACTTTTTTGTGTGTGTTTTTTGTACACTTAGGTGTTTTTGTTTTTGTACATCACAGTGGGTTTAAAAAAAAAAAATCTTTTCCAAATTATAAAAAAAATACAGGCATGGTGGCGCCTTATAATGAGTACAGTAAGTGTACAGACCTGGGAACTCGGCACAGAGATAGAAAGAGACTGTCAGGTAAATTATCTATCCAAAATCGACCAATATCAGAAATATCAGCTTTGAGATTCACACAATGAAAATAATTTTATCCATTATTAAATCCCTTTTAGATTTTAGGGTCCATCAAATTCAACCTCTCATCACCTACAGAGGAAAACTAAGAAAGACCCCCCCCCCCCCCCCCACTCAGGGTAACTGTGGTCAAACTTGCCCCAGTAGAGGACATAAAATACATCTTGGTTTCTCAGGAGTAGACCAATCAATTTCCCAGCTTGGAACATTTAAACATCATCTATTAATAATGATAATGTAGCATATTATTTGTTCAAAGAGAAGCATCCATTCCTTTCTGTTGAATGTCATAACTGGTTTTGCCATTACATAATCATTCAGCGAGGCTTTGCACAGATTAAAACTCTATAACCACAGAGAGCCTCTTCCTGTACGAAGTGTTTCGTTACTTGGATGGAGGGTGTGGGTCCTTGGGCCTTCCCTGAAGTGTAGGTTCCTTCATTCCCTGAACTGGGGTGGTCTGTCTTCGGGAGATCCCCTCACTTAATACTCGGTGTTAAGCTTTGGCTGGCCATAAGGAGACAGGTGTTCTAGGCCTTTTGGCTAGGTCGGCCAAGTTGTGCCCTGCCCCTGTCAGGAGCCCTGAGCCCCAGGGAGTCAGGGTTGAGTCCTACCTTGGGAGGCAGACTGGAGACACACCATCAAGTGCACTTTTTTGTGTGTGTTTTTTGTACACTTAGGTGTTTTTGTACATCACAGTGGTTAAAAAAAAAACCTTTTATATCTTTTCTGTGGTCTTAACTGTGGTTTTAACTCATCACCTACAGAGGAAAACTAAGAAAGACCCCCCCCCCCACCCAGGGTAACTGTGGTCAAACTTGCCCCAGTAGAGGACATAAAATACATCTTGGTTCCTCAAGAGTAGACCAATCAATTTCCCAGCTTGGAGCATTCAAACATCATCTATTATTATGGTAATGATAATGAAGTATATTATTTGTTCAACGAGAAGCATCCATTCCTTTCTGTTGAATGTCATTACTGGTTTTGCCATTACATAATCATTCAGCACGGCTTTGCACAGATTAAAACTCTATAACCACAGAGAGCCTCTTCCTGTACAAAGTTTCGTTACTTGGATAGGAGAGTGTGGGTCCTTGGGCCTTCCCTGAAGTGTAGGTTCCTTCATTCCCTGAACTGGGGTGGTCTGTCTTCTGGAGATCCCCTCACTTAATACTCGGTGTTAAGCTTTGGCTAGCCATAAGGAGACTGGTGTTCTAGGCCTTTTGGCTAGGTGGACCGAGTTGTGCCTTGCCCCTGTCAGGAGCCCTGAGCCCCGGGGAGTCAGGGTTGAGTCCTACCTTGGGAGGCAGACTGGAGACACACCATCAAGTACACTTTTTTGTGTGTGTTTTTTGTACACTTAGGTGTTTTTGTACATCACAGTGGGTTAAAAAAAAACCTTTTATATCTTTTCTGTGGTCTTAACTGTGGTCTTAACTCATCACCTACAGAGGAAAACTAAGAGAGACCCCCCCCCCCCCACCCAGGGTAACTGTGGACAAACTTGCCCCTAGTAGAGGACATAAAATACATCTCGGTTCCTCAAGAGTAGACCAATCAATTTCCCAGCTTGGAACATTCAAACATCATCTATTAATAATGATAATGAAGTATATTATTCGTTCAAAGAGAAGCATCCATTCCTTTCTGTTGAATGTCATAATTGTTTTTTTTGCCATTACATAATCATTCAGCGAGGCTTTGTGCAGATTAAAACTCTATAACCACAGAGAGCCTCTTCCCGTACGAAAAATCTCCTTCGCTCCGTATGCACGACCCCTTGTGCTTTGTACAGTAACTGAGATAAAACATTAACATTGACCTTGGATGTATTTATAGATGATAATTTAATCACCTCTAATAATAAAAAAAAAAGTCTGCCATCTGATTTAAAGTGGATTGATCATTAAATATGATGATCACCTATATTTCCTGAGCTCTAGACAACTGTAGGTTCTATACTTCACTGGTCTCCCTACATAGAATAGGCTCAGAAGGTCTCAGCCCTGAGTACTTCCCTGTTCACAACTTCAGAATAGTTGGCAGGGTAAGCTGGCCATCAGGAATGCTGTGAGCAGACGGCGTAAGATTCAGGGATCTGATAGTCCCCTCAGGGGCGGACTGACAACTCATGGGGCCCCCGGGCAATAGGGAATCATGGGGCCCCTGTGTCCTCGCCCCACACTCAAACCATACCCAAAAAAGCCATGAAAGGTACCAGGCTCATCTCATGGGGCCCCCTACTGACCCCAGGCCCTCGGGCAGCTCCCGAGTTCCCAAATGGTCAGTCCGCCCCTGGGTCCCCTACAGTCTCTCCACTACCATTGTGCTATTATATATCAGCCCCTTAGTAATACAGATTAATAAAATAAATAGAAAATGAAAAGCACAGCTACAGAAACAAGTACCACTCCCAGAAGAATCATTTTAGATTTAAACTTCAAAATTAAAAAAAAAAAATGCAAATAATTTAAGATTCAATTGAATTAACGTAATATAATATAATTAAATTAAAATAATAAAAAGAGAAAATTAGGAACACAATTACAGAAAAAAGTACCACCCGAACCCAATTAATAAACTTAAACTTTAAAATTAAAAAAAAAAAAAGTCAATTAAAATTTAAATTCAATATTTTGAATCAAGCTGTAATTGATTTAATTCAAAATGTAATTGATTTATTTAATAATAACACAATTACAGAAAAAAGTACCAGCACCCAGAAAAATAAACTTGAACTTTAAAATAAAAAAAAATGAAATAATTTAAAATTAATTAATTTTAAAATGTAATGGAAATATTTTAATTTAAGCTGTAATTCATTTAATTCAGAATGCAATTGATTTAATTTAAAACAATGAAAAGAGAAAATGAATAACACAATCACAGAAAAATAGTACCACCCCCTCAGATTATTAAACCTAAAATTAAAAATAAAAATGAAGTAGTTTAAAATGTAATTGAATTATTTTAAATTAAGCTGCAATTCATTTAATTCAAAATGTCATTGATTTATTTAAAATAATGAAAAGAGAAAATTAACAACTGAATTACACAAAATAGTACCATCCCCCCATTAATTAAAATAAACTTAAAACAATGAAATCATAAAGTCAGTAAAATATAATTATTTTATTTAAACTGTAAGTCATTTAATTGAAAATGTAATTAATTTAATTTAAAATATACACTAATTACTTTTGTTTAACATTTAAAATACAATCCATTTAGACTTAAAGGCACCTAAAAAAAAAAAACCCCATAATATTCTGTTTAGTTCCTTCTCCCTCCGTGATAATAAAAAGTTGACTTTTTTTAATATTTCCTTGCTTGCTTTTTTTTTTTTTTTTTTTTTTAAACTTTACCCTAACCACCAGTTTTTTTTTTTACCTTTCCCCTACTTTAATTCTCGTAAAGGTGACATACAGCTCACTTCTGCAGCCTCCTGGAATACCCACATCACATTTCTCCGGAAGCTAGGGGCCAAGAACCATCTGACAAGTACCAAAGGGCTATTTGTGGCCCTTGAGCTACAGGTTAGGCACCATGATCTGTAGCAAATTTCCAGTTCAGCAATGTGTAAACTTAAATATCTAATTAAAAACATACATCAAAAAAATGTTTAAAAAAATAAAATACGTCACCCAATCCATTGGCGCAGTCATTGAACTCAATGCAGTACACAGTTCTGTCTATTCCGTAAGGACCCATTAGTGTCCTGTAGAAAACAAAAGCCAGAAATTCATTATAGTCAGCGGATAGTTCCTTTAAGTAAGAAGGTGGAGTCATGCATATAGAAATCACAGATAGGAAGAGAATGAATTCAACAGACAATTCCTCTTCTAGCCATGCTCTCCATAATTCCTTTCCTACATGTTCCAAAATTCCTTTGCTGTACATTTCTGCTCGTTTTCATTCGGCTCACATTGCTGAGCCACGGGCTATGCTGCCTCTGCCATGGTAGAAAAGTTCATATGTGACATGAAAATGTATCTGTGGGGGATTTTATATTTTACATCCATAGTTATTAATCCAGTGTGAAGGTACCTGGAGGCTCCTGCTATTAATTGCACATAGGAATAAAAAAAATTATAGTTTGCTTTATATTCTACAATAAGTAACAAATAACAGATACAATGTAGCAGCTTGAATAGTCAGTTTCTTTATGTCAGTGTCCCGCTGGGTAGATTTCCCTTCACTTCCTGTCCTGGTGACACAACAGAAAATCACTTGTGCTCTGCACTAGGTCCTGTATTATTTGGGCCATATCATGTAAATTGTGGGTGTATTTCCACGCCTGCGGTCCACAGTTGCTGGGGTCCACATAGCCGACCATAATAGTGAATGGGCTGTACGTGTCTTTGTGTATCTGTGTCTAGGGTTTTACGCACATATACAAGTGTGGTGGTCAGGGCCATCTTAATAGCATCATGGGCCCCTGGGAAAAGTAATACACTGGGGCCCCTACCAGCCTACCCCAGTTTACACTCCTACTCTCAATAATTAAAGTATAAATAGTTGATAGAATTAAATAAATAATTATTGGTACTTTTATTGAAATCAATTTTAAACAAGAAAACATGCCATAAATCAAAGACTAATCAACACAAAAGGCACAGTACTGGGGGTGGCAGAAAGGCATAGTACAGGGGGTGGCAGAAAGGCATAGTACAGGGGGTGGCCGAAAGGCACAGTACAGGGGGTGGCAGAAAGGCACAGTACTGGGGGTGGCAGAAAGGCATAGTACAGGGGGTGGCAGAAAGGCACAGTACTGGGGGTGGCAGAAAGGCATAGTACAGGGGGTGGCAGAAAGGCACAGGGGGTGGCAGAAAGGCACAGTACTGGGGGTGGCAGAAAGGCACAGTACAGGGGGTGGCAGAAAGGCACAGTACAGGGGTGGCAGAAAGGCACAGTACAGGGGGTGGCAGAAAGGCACAGTACTGGGGGTGGCAGAAAGGCACAGTACAGGGGGTGGCAGAAAGGCACAGTACTGGGGGTGGCAGAAAGGCACAGTACAGGGGGGGTGGCAGAAAGGCACAGTACTGGGGGGGTGGCAGAAAGGCACAGTACTGGGGGTGGCAGAAAGGCACAGTACAGGGGGTGGCAGAAAGGCACAGTACTGGGGGTGGCAGAAAGGCACAGTACAGGGGGTGGCAGAAAGGCACAGTACTGGGGGTGGCAGAAAGGCACAGTACAGGGGGTGGCAGAAAGGCACAGTACAGGGGGTGGCAGAAAGGCACAGTACAGGGGGTGGCAGAAAGGCACAGTACTAGGGGGTGGCAGAAAGGCACAGTACAGGGGGTGGCAGAAAGGCACAGTACAGGGGGTGGCAGAAAGGCACAGTACTGGGGGGTGGCAGAAAGGCACAGTACAGGGGGTGGCAGAAAGGCACAGTACAGGGGGTGGCAGAAAGGCACAGTACTGGGGGTGGCAGAAAGGCACAGTACAGGGGGTGGCAGAAAGGCAGTACTGGGGGGGTGGCAGAAAGGCAAAGGCACAGTACTGGGGGTGGCAGAAAGGCACAGTACTGGGGGTGGCAGAAAGGCACAGTACAGGGGGTGGCAGAATGGCACAGTACAGGGGGTGGCAGAAAGGCACAGTGCAGGGGGCATAGTAAGTCATAGTATAGGGGAGGGGGGTCAGGAGGACACAATATGGTCAGCTCTACATGGCAAACAATAATAAAACATGACATAACTCAAAGGCTAATCAACACAAAGGGCACAATACAGAGGGCATAGTAAGTCATAGTATAGGAGGGGGAACAGGAGGGTACAATATCGGGATCAGGAGGGCACAGTACAGGGGGCATAGTAAGTCATAGTATAGCAGGGGGAACAGGAGGGTACAGTACAAGGGCATAGTAAGTCATAGTATAGGGGGGGGAACAGGAGGGTACAGTACAAGGCCATAGTAAGTCATTGTATAGGGGGGGGAACAGAAGGGTACAATGTCGGGATCTGCAGGGCACAATACAGGGGCCACAGTAAGTCATAGTATGGGGGGGGGGGAGGAAGGCACAATATCGGGAACAGGAGGGCACAGTACAAGGGCATAGTAAGTCATTGTATAGGGGGGGAACAGAAGGGTACAATGTCAAGATCAGGAGGGCACAATACAGGGGTCATAGTAAGTCATAGTATAGGAGCGGGAACGGGAGGGCACAATACCGGGATCAGGAGGGCACAGTACAGGGGACATAGTAAGTCATAGTATGGGGGGGGGCAACAGGAGGGCACAATACCGGGATCAGGACCGGCACAGTGCAGGTTCTGTGACGCTGCCCGGGACACGGCCATCCCGGGACAGCTTAGTAAAAAGTGTGATTGTCCCAGTAAATCCGGGACAGCTGGCAAATATGATGTAATGCAAAATTGTCCTGGGGCCCCTGGGCAGTGCCCAGGGGTGCCCATACATTCAGAGAGCCCTGGTGGTGGTATAAAGCAGCATACAGTCCATTCACTATTATGGTCAGCTCTACGTGGCAAACAATAAGAAAACATGCCATAAATCAAAAGCTAATCAACACTAAGAGCACAGTACTGGGGGTGGCAGAAAAGCACAGTACAGGGGCATAGTAAGTGATATTATATGGGGGGGGGGGGGTCAGGAGGGCACAATACTCGAATCAGGAGGGCACAGTACAGGGGCATAGTAAGTGATATTATATGGGGGGGGTCAGGAGGGCACAATACTGGAATCAGGAGGGCACAGTACAGGGGCATAGTAAGTGATATTATATGGGGGGGGTCAGGAAGGCACAATACTGGAATCAGGAGGGCACAGTACAGATTCCGTAATGCTGCCCGGGGCACGACCATCCAGCTTCATAAACAGTGTGACTGTCCCGGCAAATCCGAGATAGTTGGCAAATTATTATTGGGGCCCCCGTGCACCTGGGGCCCCTGGGTAGTGCCCAGGGGTGCCCATACATTCAGAGAGCAGGGCCCTCTGTTTCCTCTTGTACCAAATTGTATTGTAACTGTAATGTCTCCCTTCATTTTGTAAAGCGCTGAGCAAACTGTTGGCGCCATATAAATCCTGTCTAATAATAATAATGATTTGGCATTGCTGGAAGATTGGTCAAAGCAGTGACAGTTGTCTTCAGTCAACAAATGAATGCACCTAAAGTATATGTAAACCCTCACCTTGTAAAACAAGCCCTAAATGAAAGGCAAAACATTTGTTTATAGATATTAACAAAAAAAAAAACTAAGTAAATACATTTTTTTTTTTCCTTTTATATAAGTGATCACATACCCTCTGTTCTCAGCTGCATAAGAGCTGGGGGAGGAGAAACAACAGGACAATGGTCTTCCCAGTGAATAGCTGTGCCCGAGGAGCGTGTCAGGATAAGTCTGATCATTGGAGGAGAGCAGGCTGAGTTTCCAGCACAGCTAGAGAACTGAACAAGCTGTGCTCTCATGCCTAGTGTGGTCAGTTTTTAATAAGAAAGCAGTGGGACAGGTAGGGACATCATGGATTTCACACAAATGAAGCAATTCAGAGGGAACAGGAGACTTTTTCATACAAGTACATGGTACAACAGGCACGTATCAGGAATAGGAAATGTTGGGTTTGCATATTCTGTAAAGGAAAATGAAACTTCCGATAGAGTACATTATTGGGGGAATAGGGTGCAATTCCTGGATACTATGGCTTACTGCCCTGTATGCACCCCCCGCTATGTATCAATGGAGAACAGGGGCGGACTGACAACTCACGGGGGCCCCCGGGCAATAGGGGATCATGGGGCCCCTGTGTCCTTGCCCAAACTTAAAAAAAGCCTATGAAAAAGGTACCAGGGCATCTCATGGGCCCCCTACTGACCCCGGGCCCTCGGCACAGTGCCCGAGTTTCCAAATGGTCAGTCCGCCCCTGAAACCTTCCGGAGGTCAATCCTGGAATGCATGTAAAGGGAATACATTTGGGATACAATGAGGACGGTAATCTGTGTATGACACGGGGATGGATTAGCAGATATGACTGCGGAGATATAACCTCTGCCTGGATACAGAAAATCCCAAACATCTGCCTAACTCTCGCTGATATACCTAGGACTTCCACGCCGCTATAGAACGCGCACTGATCCCCCCCCCCCCCCCTCCCGTTTCCCACCGCCCCCCTTACCTGCTGATCATCATTGCCCCTTTACAGAAGACAGACACAGACGGCATCCTTCTAGAGGCAGGGATGTAGTGAGGGACATAGGCACGGTGGCCAAGTGGGGACGTATCGAGGGAACGGGCTTCGGAGGAGGGAGGGAGGGGGGAATGGCATCATGTGACGGTTCAGAAAATGATCTGCCTTGTCATGGAGATAGGGAACTGTCACTCACAAGTCTTAAATGGGTCATCGGAGACCTGGGGCAAATGCCAGATCCTGGAGGGGGTAGTTCCTTACTTGTCTCACATTGTAACACTCACATGTGTAGAGATATTAAAAAAAAAAAAATTCCTAGAGAATACATATAGATAATCGGGGGGGGGGGGGGTTGCTATAGTCCTCAAAGACCTGGGCACCAAGACTGAAATGTTAAAACCAGGGGCGGACTAACAACACATGGGGCCCCCGGGCAATAGGGATCATGGGGCCCCGGTGTCCTCACCCACACTCAAACCACACCCAAAAAGGCATATGAAAGGTACCAGGGGCATCTCATGGGGCCCCCTACTGACCTCCGGGCCCCCTCGGGTAGTGCACGAGTTCCCAAATGGTCAGTCCGCCCACTGGTTAAAATCCAAATGGCTTTAAAACCCAAATGAGCTAAATACATGCTAGGTGCTTGAAAAGAAAATATGTACAAAGTCTTACAGTCGGTTTACTTTAAAAAGGCCACGGCCTGCATAGAAAAGCCTGTCCTCTTCCAGCAGATGCAGAGGACAACCCTGGGGGGAAAGCAGTGGTCTCTCTGCAGAGATCAGGCACTGTCCTTGCTGTGTCAGAGTTCTCTCCAATCAGCAGGGAACATAAGTTTCACTCAATGCAGAGCTAGAAGTCTGACTCAGTAAGGGGCATGTGTGGGACCTCTTCAGAGAGACCACTGCTTCCACACAGAGAGCAAGGGTCCTTCTCTGCAGGAGACAGGTAGGGAGCTATCTACAAAAATAGCACATATGGCAAGCACTGAATTTGCTTCCTTCTCCAAACATCTGACACCCATACTTTAGACCAGTGTTTCTCAACTTTTTTTAGTCAAGGCACCCTTTAAAATTATGGACAGTCCCGAGGCACCCTTTAGAATTATGGACAGTCCCGAGGCTCCCTTTAAAATTATGGACAGTCCCGAGGCACCCTTTAAAATGATGGACAGTCCCGATGCACCCTTTAAAATGATGGACAGTCCCGAGGCACCCTTTAAAATGATGGACAGTCCCGAGGCACCCTTTAAAATGATGGATAGTCCCGAGGCACCCTTTAAAATGATGGACAGTCCCGAGGCACCCTTTAGAATTATGGACAGTCCCGAGGCACCCTTTAAAATTATGGACAGTCCCGAGGCACCCTTTAGAATTATGGACAGTCCCGAGGCTCCCTTTAAAATTATGGACAGTTCCGAGGCACCCTTTAAAATGATGGACAGTCCCGAGGCACCCTTTAAAATGATGGACAGTCCCGAGGCACCCTTTAAAATGATGGACAGTCCCGAGGCACCCTTTAAAATGATGGACAGTCCCGAGGCACCCTTTAAAATGATGGACAGTCCCGAGGCTCCCTTTAAAATGATGGACAGTCCCGAGGCACCCTTTAAAATGATGGACAGTTCCGAGGCACCCTTTAAAATGATGGACAGTCCCGAGGCACCCTTTAAAATTATGGACAGTCCCGAGGCACCCTTTAAAATTATGGACAGTCCCGAGGCTCCCTTTAAAATTATGGACAGTCCCGAGGCACCCTTTAAAATTATGGACAGTCCCGAGGCTCCCTTTAAAATTATGGACAGTCCCGAGGCACCCTTTAAAATTATGGACAGTCCAGAGGCACCCCAGTCTAAAATGTAAATAACTATTCCAATAGTTTTCTATATCGCAGCGACATCCTACACACATAGGACACCCAACATTAGAGGTGATTTATTCTTCCAAAGCAAATACACTTTTGCACGCCGGTGCTGACTAGTATTCCCATGTTTCTCTTTTCCCTCAGCTTTTCTTCATCACTGAGCTAATGTGACCCCAGCACTGATGGAGAGGGGTAGGGAGAGGGTCAAACTAGGATGCTGTGCAGGACAAATGACATCCTCCTTATCATCTGACAATGCCATTGGTTGTCAGGATGGTGGCGGCTAGAAGGTGGTAATGGTTCACAATGAAAACCTGGGGTTTTGTATAACTAAAAGACAGGCTTGTTCCACCCGCTGGCTTGTATACAAGTTTAGGGCAATTTATAGACATTTTGCCAAGGCACCCCTGAGGAAACCTCAAGGCACCCCTGAAGAGACCTCAAGGCACCCCAGTGTACCTGGGCACCCTGTTTAAGAAAGGCTGCTTTAGATAAGTGAAATTCAAATAAGTAATGCAGAGTTCAGGGATCAGGTCAGTAGTATGTAACGTAGAGTGCAGGGGTTAGCAGTACGTAACACTGAGTTTATGGGCTAGTAGTAAGTAATGCAGAGGTCAGGGATCATTAGTAGTAATGAATGAAGAGTTCAGGGGTCAGTAGTATGTAATTCAGAGGTCAGGGGTCATTAGTAAGTAAAGCAGAGTTCAGAGGTCATTAGTACATATCATAGAGTTCAGGGGTCAGTAATATGTAATGCAGAGATCAGGGGGCAGTAATAGGTTTTGAGAATTCAGGGGTAAGGAGTACATATTGTAGAGTTTAGGGGTCCATAATACGTAATGCAGAGTTCAGATGTCAATAGTAGATAACAGATAGCTCCAGGGTTAGTAGTATGTAACACAGAGTGCAGGGGTCAGTAGTTAGTAGGTAAGGCAGAGTTCAGAGGTCAATAAAACTTAACACAGAGTTGGGAGACCAGTTGTAAGTATTGCAGAGTTCAGGGGTCATTAGTAAGTTCACAGGTTTTTTTGTGTAACACAGAGGACAGAGGTCAAGAGTGAGTAATGCAGAGTAGTGCAAGGGTCAGTAGAATGTAAAGCAGAATTCAGAGGTTAGTAGTATATAATGTAGAGGTCAGGGGTCAGTAGTAAGTAAGACAGAGTTCAGGGTTGAGTATTAAGTAATGCAGAGTTCATGGGTTAGTAGTAAGTAATGCAGAGGTCAGGGATCATTATTAAGTAATACAGTATTCAGGGGTCAATAGTATGTAACTCAGAGGTCAAGGGTCAATAGTAAGTAAAGCAGAGTAAAGAGGTCAGTAGTATTTAATGTAGAGTGCAGGGTTCAGTAGTAAGTAAAGCAGTGTTCAGAGGTTAGTAGTGTGTAATACCAAGTTCATGGGTTAGTACTAAGTAATGCAGAGGTCAGGGATCAGTAATAAGTAATGCAGAGTTCAGGGGTCAGCAGTATCTAAATCAGAGGTCAGTAGTAATAAATAAAGCAGAGTTCAGAGGTCAATAGTACATATCATAGAGTTTAGGGTTCAGTGGTATGTAATGCAGAAGTCAGGGGTCAGTAATGGGTAATGGAGAGTTCATGGGTAAGGAGTATGTATTGTAGAGTTCAGGGGTCTGTACTGTAGTATGTAAAGCAGAGTTCAAAGGTCTTTAGTATGTAATGCAGAGTTCATGAGTCAGCAGGGGTGGGACTGACAACTCATGGGAGTTTATTTACTAAATGGAGCCCCTGTGTCCCTTCAGACTCCTTCTGCATATGAAAAAGCTTCCAGGGGCATTCATTGCCAAAGCTTCACTGAACAAGCCGGAGGTTAGAAGCCCAATTTTCCAAATGTCAGTCCGCCCCTGGGAGTCTGATTATAAAAAGCAGAGTTCAGGATTTAGTATGTAACCAGGGGTTTAAAGGTCAATAGGTAAGTAATCAGAGTTGGGGCCCCTATGTCCTTGCCCAAACTGTAAAAGTGAAAAAGGGGGTCAGTAGTAAGCATGAGTAATGGACTTCCCTAGTAACACAGAGTTCATGGATTAGTAGTAAGTAGTTGACCCGGGATCAGTAGTCCAATAATGCAAAGTTCAGGGGTCAGTAGTATGCAACTTAGAGGTCAAGGGTAGTATAAAAAGCAGAGGTCAGTAGTTAACACAGAGTTCATGAGTTAGTAGTAAGAACTGTGGAGGTCAAGAATCAATAGTAAGTAATGCAGAGTTCAGGGGTCAGTAGAATGTAAAGTGCAGAGGGTCAGCAGTAAGTAATGCAGAGTTCAGGGAAGTAGTAGTATGTAACACAGAGTTCATAGGTTAGTAGTAAGTAATGTGGTGGTCAGGGATTGGTAGTAAGTATGCAAATGCAGAATTCAGAGGTCAGTAAGTAGTAATGTAATTTAGAAGTCAGGGGTCAGTAGTATACAAAGCAGAATTCAGGGGTCAGAGTTAGTATAAGCAGAGTTGTGGAGGTCGGTAGTATTCAGTAAAGCAGAGTTGAGGAGTCTGGGTAGTACAAAGCAGAAATCAGGGGTCAGTACATAGTAAAAGCCAGAATTCAGGGTCAAGTAAGTATATGCAGAGTTTCAGTAGGTCAGTATGTAATACAAGTTCAGGGACAGTAGTATGTAAGCAGAGTTCGGGATCAGTAGTACGTAATGCAGAGTTCCGGAATCAGTAGCATACAGTAGTTCCGGGATCAGTAGTATGTAATGCAGAGTTCTGGGACCAGCAGTAACAAAGCAGAGTTCCGGGATCAGTAGTAGTAATGCAGAGTTCCGGGATCAGTAGTATGTAATGCAGAGTTCAATGCAGTAGTATGTAATGCAGAGTTCCGGGATCAATAGTATGTAATGCAGAGTTCCGGGATCAGTAGTACGTAAAGCAGAGTTCCGGGATCAGTAGTATGTAATTGCAGAGTTCCGGGATCAGTAGGATCAGTAGTATGTAATGCAGAGGGGATCAGTAGTACGTAATGCAGAGTTCCGGGTAGTATGTAACGCAGAGTTCCGGGATCAGTAGTATGTAATGCAGAGTTCCGGGATCAGTAGTATGTAAAGCAGAGTTCCGGGATCAGTAGTATGTAATGCAGAGTTCCGGGGATCAGTAGTATGTAATGCAGAGTTCCGGGATCAGTAGTATGTAATGCAGAGTTCCGGGATCAGTAGTAT